GGCAACAATTAGTAAACTGTTTCATCTGTGCAACGTGACAAGCCCGACTGTCGATTGTGTCAGATAGATTCATTGATTAGGATAAGCAATCGCTGATCACAAGGACCCGCTCATTACTAGCAATTTTTAATAATATTGCGGATTAATTACTTACCTAATTCAGTCTGCAATGATAATTTTGCCTTTGCTCCGCAATGCATATAGCGCGTTTATATTTATCGTTTCAGTGTGATGTTGTAATTAAATTCCGAGAAAAATTAAATTACTTTATTTGTTTTCTGATTGTTTATTTTTACGTATATTTTCCAATATTTGTCATTACGATTACATTTATCAGATCCCATCACCACTAATTTCTATATTTTGGCATTGAATACTGGCTTCGTTGCTCACCGACAGTCCTCAGCGTTAAACTGTAAATTAGAATAAAAATAACTGGATCAAAATAAAAATTTTAAATGGAAAATGTTTTAGCATATAAATATCACAAAATTGAAAGTAATTACTTCTTTTTAAATGCAAACTTAAAAAAGGAAGATAAACTTGACAAAAATGAATTTATAAATTTCTGCGATTTAATATTTTTTTCATTATTTTTTTATGAAAAATTTAATAATTCTTTGCGGGATGAATAATGAATAATGAATAATGAAAGCAATATATCGATACTTTCGTTATCTTTCATTATTTTATTAAGTTTACAATGTTAACAAGAACAATGTACATCGTGATCTAATGATTATTGGTAACAATTATGGGTAATTGCAGTAGGCGCGCTGCGCATGCCATGAGATTTATGATAATTCACATTAATATGTCATATCACATTACTGAGGTAAACTGCTCTTATAAAAATACGCGTTAATTTTGTTTAAATAACAAGATTTATTACCTCACTTTCGTCTTCTAATTGCAATAAATCTTGTCGATCTTTAATCACACCGAATTAGTATACAACACGCATTATGCATATATAATACGGCGATAATTACATTAATGAGATCGCGTCGCATTATTCATCAATGTAGAAGTTTAACAACATGAATATCGAGATACATAATAAATGAAATATTACTCTCTGTAAATATCTCGAAATGTTGTACGTTCTTTTCTAATCTATTATTTATTTTTTTAATGTACACGCTTTCAACCTGTTTCAAAATATTTTTCACATTAATCTAACTCGAGATATGTATTAAACTGGTTTAGATTTAATAGATACAGGAAATGGCAAGTATATTTTAGTACATGAAGAAATTTCATGTATCACTTTGAAGCGCATGGAACATATTATAATATACAGATCAAAATTTTAAAACATGCCTCAAGCTAATGATAAAAATAAAAGATGATATTATTAAAAATAATTATATCAAATAATTATACCAAATGTTTGTTATTAGTTGATAAATCACTGAAATTAAATTTAAGTTATATTTATTAAACATATTGAAATTTCTTTATACATGTACCAGAATATATTTATCATCCGATACATAAATTACCTGTAATATGTTCGCAATTAATTGAATGTGTATAAATTTATTCGCGATCGTAACTACGACTCAAACTAACGCTTGTTATTCTCACTCTTAATTTCATAACAATATCCGCACAAGTATATAAAACTGATTGGATCGCGTAAAATTATATTTTTCAAGAGATATTACGCGTTAGTTCATTGACAATCGATGAACAATCTATCGTCACAAACTATTGCTACAATACTGGCATTGCAACGAAGCAATTATTTCATCTCAAAGGAAACTATCGGCACCATTAATGCTTTACATTCCGGACATCTTACAGACCGTTTCTACAAAGCAACATTCCTATTCTCACAAAAGTACAGTATCGCTTTTAGACTTAATAAAATAATATTAAATTTATACAGAAAATAAAATAATAGAACATTTATTGAAATAAAAATATAATTTTTTTATAAGAAATTTTTTTTATTTCTACATTCTAATCATTTTTGATCCATCTGTAAAGCATTAAGATGATTATATTTATTACGTATATAACAAAAAATATTATTACATACAATAATTATAATTATTTTTACAACTATTATATGTGATAATATTTTTATATTGTGTTGGCCTTACTGTACCTGCATCGAAACTTTTATATTCCATTTTACGTCTTACGAAATTACTAGACTGCCTTTTCATACAACAGGATATTTATTTCCTATAACATTTCTATTTCAGAGAATATTTTTAAAACTATTTTTAAAAATATTTTATTCGCTATTAAATTACTTCTAAATATTTATCTAACTTTATGAAGAGATTATTCAAACAATCATTTTAGAGTAGTTCTCTCGCGATATATTATCACTTGAACTATTATTAAAACATTTTCAATATTTTCTTTCTTATTCTCCTTGTAATAAAATTATTTTGAAAATATTTTCCAAAATATTTCCAAAATATTATGTCTTATATATATATCGTATATCCTAATATAGGATACAAAAACATTTTTAAACATTTTAATTTCGAAATATCACTGAAGTATTTCAAAATGCTCTTCGAAATATCATATGTTTCTTCCAAAGATATCTTTTATCATCTGAATTATGATAAAATTATTCGCTATCAGAAACACAAGTGTTTCGCAATTGTTCTGTATCCGCATGAACCTCACCATTACCAGAATAGGATACTTTGCTGTATCTGTGGACGGATTTGGATTTGCGGATATACCAAATGAACGCAAAATAAATGACAACGGCGATAATCACGGCCAAATTGACTAAGAACACCACAGTCATCCTATAAAACCACATTGTAGATTGCATTCTCCAGGAAAGACTGCTCAGTACGCAGACTGTCCTTCCATTGTTCCACATGAATATCGAATCCGCACGGCAAGTGATGCAGTCTGCGTCGCTGGGTCCTTTGCAAGACAGGCACGAGTAATGGCATGCTGTGCAGAATGCACCAGAATCGTCGTCATTCCGGACCGCGTAAGTTCCGGATGGACATTGTCGTAAGCAGCTGCCATTGTTGTGGTACCAATCCCGTTTGCACACTGAAAAATCAGATACACCATTGATGTTCTTCGTTTTCACCTAATCGGGATTGTAGTGTAAACTTGTGTTGTTGCTGGTATTGTCATTGACGTGTTCTTGCAGTTGATTGAATATTAATGTGACGAATATGAATGGTGTTGCAGAGAAAAAAATTCAAGATTTCGGCATCGTAAAACTATTCTTATGAGAAAGAGAAAAGATTTTTCTATTAAGTTGACCAATGTAATAATAATAATAATTTAATGTATTTAAAATAATATTACTTAAACAATCTTATCTGTAACGCCATTCAATCAGTTGAAACATGTAATCAATCACATAATTACTAATTAGTGTATCTATAATATATCATTGTAAACTTAACGTTAAAGTTAAATATCTATAATATTACATCAAGTAAAAGATGTCGTAATTATAAATTATTTATTTAACATATGGTTTAGGCTTTGGCGAATGTTAATTAAATGAAATTTTAAAAATTTATTAAAGTTTAAAGTTTATATATGTATATATATATTTTCCTTAATTTTTGAAATTTATTAAATAAGTTCAATCTTAATATAAATTTACACAATGTAAAAAAATTATGTTTTATAAAAATTTATTGTATAACTATGTATAAATTTATAAGTAAAGTAGATGTATAATGATTACATATAATTTTTTTATGTGTGCACATAAAATATTTAATTAATTATATAAGAATGTTTCAATTATTAGTATTCGGATTTTTTTCTAGAATTAAATAATCAAAGATATATTCATCGATGCAACTTATTTTGAATGATCAGTTCGCCCAAGCCTAAAATATATATATCACAATTATTATTTAAAAAATATATAAACTATTGAAAAATAACATTAGCCCAATTGTACATACTGAAATATAAAAACATAATCTATAAAATAAATAAATGCAAAATGGCGAAGCCTGTAATATTACAACTTTCGGAATTTGCAAAGCATGCAAAAGCATATGCGTATCGGACTAGACTCCATTTACAAATTACTTATAAATAAATAAGTGGCATTCGAAATGCGATATACAAATGTAATAATAAACAAAGCACATACATAAATGCTCTTTTTTACATTTGCATTTACACTTAATGTACTGATTTGCAGAAGTTCATAAAATTTATTTTTTATCTACAAATAAATTACATTGCTTTAATTTTCGCTCATGCATTATGTACATGATCTCGCTATGAAAGAAATTATTTTACTCTTTAATCTTTAATATTTACTAATCTATACAAAGTAAAATACAAAATGGAAAGTAATTGTGATCTATTAGCCATTATTCTTATTGCTGTATTTATATTAAAACTTACGTATTTTCTTAATACAATTTTGTCACAGTTTGTGTAACAATATTAAATGTATGAAAAAAGAGAACAGTAAGTGAAATATTGTTTCTTTCGTTAAATTTATGTTTTTTGTAATATATAAATAGTTGATAAATATTTATAATTTCTCTTTGACTGACAATATAATTATACTTCACAATTATACTTTATATTTATAAGAAAAATAAAATGTATCTTCACACAATTATCATCAATTATCATATTTGCGACAAGATATTAGCCATTATGTTGACATTTATAGACTAGTCATTATATAAATTTCTATCGTTTGATCAATGCGACACTAATTACAGAAACTGATATCAGTAGCAAATTAATAAATGTGAGAATTCCTAGAATATATATAAGAAATGCAAGCAAAGGAGAGGCGTGTACACAAAAGCCATTAGTAGAGAAATAAGAAAATAGAGACTACCTCTCTAGGTCCGTCAAAGTACGTGAAGCCTAAGGGAATACGTTTATTTCTCGGAAACCTTGCGGTAAATTTCGAATTAGATAACTTTTCTCTTAACTCGGCGATAATTAGTTGTCAACAATAACAAGAGAAAGATTTTAATTAAATTCATCTACGATGTTAAATATCTTGATATTGTGATACTTATGAATATCATATTGGTTATTCATGTAACAGAAAATATGAAATATGACTGTACACAAATACATAATATTCTAAGAAAAAAAATAGAGTAATCACTACAGATTCAATTAGTATTTTTATCATCAAATAGCTTTTTTATTAACTCTTAAATTAAACTTTTGTAAAGTAAAAACTCATTAAAAATTTCAATAACCACTTATTAAATTTTAACTTACTTCTCGAGTTTTTAATTATTAACGGTGATAATTTATTAAAGACTTTTAGGATTAAAGATTTGTTAAGAAAAGGAATTATAAATGTAAAAAAATGAATTAAATATATAAATCTTTTTTGGAAAATGCAAGACACAAACGCGAGAGATAATGCAATTTGAAAAATAATGCAATTTGAACTTTTTCTTCCCAGGCTCCAAGTACTTTCAAAATTAGTAAATATAGAGGATTAAAATAGGAATATTATATAGAAAGAAGAAGAAGTAAGACTCACCGTGCTGGTGAAGCGATCAGGGATAGGGCTGTTTTTTTTTATTTTGTGTACGGTTGTGGATGTATGGATGTGGTTGGTGATGATTGGTGGTAGTTGGTGGCTGATCTGAAAAAGTCCGCGTCCGGTCTTGCACTCGTCCCCACGGAGAGTCCAAGTACCTAAATGCGTTTTCTGAACCTGCTACAGGATAAAGGGATAAAAGGCGACGTATGTGTGATAAAACGGTTCATATCTCACAAACAGTTCGATTGCTATATGTGTGACTATTCGCCAAGAAAATTTTTCTTGTTTTCACATTGTCTATTTAGATTACAGCTTCTAGAGGATATTTGAAAATCAGGAATTTTGGGAAGTGAAATAGAAAACATTTCATTAACGTATCAGCATATTATTTTTTGTGATTTAAGCGATAAAATTAGAAAAAAACAAGAAGAATATACATAGTCCTAATTTAAATTAATAACAATAGTTAATAAAAATTGCAGTTGAGATAAAAATCGTTCAATAGCTTCAAATTTTTATTAAATTAATATCAAAGAATATAATTCTATTTCGCTGGAAAAATTGAAGCTTATGAAAGCGGCGACTCCACACTAACTTCTTATTTGCGATTTTAATGAAATTATGGATTAAAATTATTATTCATGTGTAAGTAAGCGGGAATATTGAAATGACTAGATCTCTATAACTTAAATGGCTCAATCAGATTGGCTGGTGAGTTCTTGATGTATTGGAAATCAGGATTGTCTGGCTGGGAAATGTTCGCACTGGTTAATCATCAAATCCCTAAGAGTTACTGTTGCACGGTGGATTAATCGTCCCTGTCCTAGTAGGATAACGGGTCGCGATAACGGATAATTGTACCAGAACCAGCTGTGTCACAAGCTCACACGATCCTAAGGTGTCGTCTTCTAAAGTTCTCCACATCCGTTTCGATCAAGATAAAATAAATAGATGGTTCAATAAGAAGAGTTTAGAAAGCATCATTAATTTAACTGTAAGATAGAATCGCATTTTCAGAAAATAAAATTTCGATAAGAATCATAAGACTTGAATAATCAAGAAATAATCTTTGTGAAATTTCCGTTAAAATTTAGAAATGAATGAGATTTAATATTTTTATATATTTTTCCGATATATATATAAATACGGTTGAACAAACGGGAAAAAGAAATCTTTGTGACTGTAAATTAATTTTATATTATCAATTTTAAAGGAAAAGAAAGGATAAAGTCTTTCTATTTCTGCTATGTGATGTAAACTTTGAATGCTGAGAGTAAATTAGAAGATGCATTGAAGTTGTTAGTAAGTGCAATTCAAATATGTTGTACCAATGCATACAGCAGTACTACATAAGCAATAGCGACATTTCAAATGAAATGTCGTGTTGTTCTGAAAGCTGTCTATCTCGAGAATATCCAAATGAAATAAATCAGAAGTGTAATGTTTAACGTGCGTTTAAAATCAAACATAATTATCCTATGTCCCAACATTATTATTACATTTATCCTTCGAAATGTAACATTTCATGTATAATTATTAATTATTAATTATTAATTATTAATTATACGACATATTATGCGCAATTTATTATGTGCGTGTATTATTTTATCTTTATTTGTAAAATATTTATAATCTAATTAAATAAAATTTTTGGACATGAATTAAGTAAACATAAGCATATAGTAATATTTTCATTTTACTAAATAAAAGTTTATTGAATTATTTATGAATGCGAAAAATGATAGCACTTTTACATGTATCAAAGCTAAATTAAATTTTATATTGGCATTAGCTTTTTTTAAGTTCTTTTCTTTTATCTTTTATCTTGATATTTTCTTTCTTATTTTCTGAAAAAACAGATCAATTATGAACTGAAGCATTATATTCATGCACTTTAAAAGAATGATTAAGGTTAATGCACATTCTGAGGAATTCATTTATCACGCATTGTTATCTTGAAAAAACCAAGTATTTATCTGAATATATCTAGGAATTAATCAATGTTTATTTTGATGAGAATTAAATATCTTTATAATCAACATTTTCCAATAACTTTGAGTAGTTTGCCTTTTATAAACGCAATTTATTGCGTTATTTAATATCAGCCTCGATTAAAATATTTATTAAGTTTCTAAATTTGCCATATCTTTAAAAAAAATTCATCAAAGAAATATTAATAATATACAGTATAAAAAGTTTTTATGTCAATAATATATAAATATATAATATATAAATGGCTAACTATATTAATTCTGCTTAAATATATTAAATATAGAGGTAAAAAAAATAAAAATAAAAAGTACATAAAATAAAATAATATAAAGCAGTTATCCCCAAAATAATTTGCAATAATTTTTGATATTATGAGCTACAGCATGATATTGTAATATTGAAATTAAAGTTAAAACCAATCAATAACATACAAATTGTGAGATAAATTGCACAAAACCACAATTTTAATATTAAAAAAAAATAAAATGTTGATTCAAATAATTCATAATTTATTTCAACTTTTATTCTTAATGTTCTCAGAATTCACGTA